GGGAAGCAATAAGCAAGGATAGGACTTACTTAGGCGCCATATAATAGATTGTGATACCATATAAATTGGTGTTGGCTATTTTTGAGCTATTTGCTGCTGTTTAAACGATTAGAAAAAATCGATCAAAAACGAATGAGACCGGATGGAAGGTAAAAATCGACAGACTAGACGCAGAAAGACATATTGGCAATAACAAAACGCTATTCCTGCATCGTAAATATTGTAACTTGCAGAAGTTTGTCAGTCAAAATTATTATTATTTATTAGTCGCGGCTACAAGCCCTTATCGAATAAGCGTATCCACGGGGGATATGTAGTGTAACGTAAACAGCAGCGATATCGATTTAAAAAGAAAAACAGCATTAATTTCACTAATATCGTCACCGAGAACGGGTATGACGCGAATCTATTGGTGGTTAGCTGCTGTTTTTAATAAGAATGAGCAATGAAAGTTAGACAATCGTACGCAATCAGCGATCGGAGAGATTCTTTATCAGAACCAAATGTCTCCAGTCACTTGAACGCCAAAACTTCAGTTTACAGTATATTGGTCGACTTAATCGACAATTAATGGTAGATAATGTTATCAGCTGATGTTATTTGTTTGATTACTAAACCTGACCAGGCTGCTGTCTCAAGGCTACGGGTCAAACCATTCTTTGTAACCCCCAAAAATCAATCACACTTCATTAGATGTGAATGTATAAGACAAATGGTAACCTATATGATACTCAGTTCGTAAATACAAAACGGAAGAAATAATGATTGATAATTTGTACTCACAATTCGTAACTGCTTATTTTCAGGTAGACAGACAGGCATGTTTGTTATAGAATCATGAAACCGCTTATGATCAAACATAGCGTACCAATGAATCCCTGAGCGAATAGCTAAACCTGCCATAGGGGAACATCTCGTCGTTAGTACAGCCATAGTAACATGAATCTTTTATCTGTCTGTTTGAACGATAAAAAGGCAACAATACAATAAGAAGGCTGGCCAGTGTAGGGACAGAGAGGTCGAAGGCCGGCCTAGTTGCCAAAGGGTGCACGGCAGCCACATCGGCCAACGTTCCCCCGTTATTATTGTACCTTCCGGACAAGACTTGTTTTAGGAGAGCCAGCATGGTCATAATAGCGTACGTACATAATGACCCATAACAGAACGTTAAGGCTAGCGAGCATCTCAACGGGAGTACGACGGGCACTGACCAAACACTTTGCACGGTGTAATCAAGTGACGCGAAAGCATAAGCTGTGAAGGCTTGATGGTGGCAATGTTCACCTCTGTGGTCGTAATGGCTGTCACTTGGAAAAAGAACAGAAACATGGTTGCAGACGTTTAACGTTATCATATACATTATCCAATAAACATGTTAAAGCAGTTAACTGATTAAATAACTCAATCTTATTTCTTACAGTCATTGAATTTGTGAATTTCCAAAAATACAGGGAATTGCCATATGGTTTCTTGTTAATTCTATCACTTAGCAGCCTTAAATACTGCTGCTCGTTCGACCACTAAAACGTACTTTATTGTTTCATAGTTGTGCCGCGAATAAATAAACTGTTATATATAGTTTTTTTTTGCTGTTATACGGAATAAAATTCTATAAGGCTATTGTTGAATTAATTGAAATTGGAAACACATTAAAAAATGGGCGTTTGTAATACTAGATCTTGAGTATAAAGTAGATTTGGGTGATGAAGCTATCCACGCTTTAAAGGGCTACATAATCATAAAGAAATGGAACATTTCCGCTTTTAGATTCCCTGAAAACCATGAAGATATATTCACCTCTGCAAATATGTTTGTTTTTTACTAGCAGATCCGTATGAAAGTACGGATGCATATCTTTTTATAACTGTAAGAAGCTCGTTATAAGGACCAGCAGTAACAAATAGTTTCTTCACATATTGAAAATTACTCTTTATTGAGACTCCGCTATTGACGTCGTGCTTGCTTACGAGCAAGCACGACGTCTGGAGCATACACGTTGGATATTTGTATTTTAAGAAGCTGAAGACATTTCATCGTACCTAGTGAAACAGAACGTTGGGACCGCGTTAGTAAATGTTCCAGGAAAACGTACGGCCTCATCACGATTTCGATGACGAAATAGATTGAGCACGCTGTTGGAATGATCTGCCCAAACCGCCTAGTCAAAAAGCTTTTCTTCTTAATAAAGCCCAAACAGGAGAAATAGTTGCGTGACATATTGCCTCGAAACTTAAACGTACACGCATGCCATACTCGTTTGCCAGAAAGTCTGCAACAACCAACTGCTATGCGCTAGTTGCATGGGAGTAACAGTTTCATGGGCGGAAAATGCCCATGGATGGGACAAATTCGCTTCACAATCAGACCATTTATTCTTGCTTATACACTACGGGAAATAAGGAGAGCCGAAATCACGAAGAAGCATGTAAACACAGAGAACGAAGCACTAGGCTCTCTATAGAGGCCGGTGACCATTGGCAAATACGTCATTAGTGGCTCATTCAGGTCAGTGGGGTACGGCGAATGGCGGGAGCAGCCGAGGTTAGCGGAAGAACTAAGCCAGTCAAGGAAACGAGTCGACTTGTCGGTTACCGCTGAGCGTACTACTCTATAGCGGCGTAAAAGACCGTCTGAATTGTGCCTCCCAATAGCACCTAAACTCTTCTTACGCATCTGCACTTCGATTGCTGCCTGTCCATTGAAAGGCTATTCATGGGCCGAATCGACCAAGCGATTTCGAGTCTTCTTTTGCAGAAAGTCTCTCCCTCTCTTTTTCGAACGTCACGTCAAACTCGCTAAAGTCAAATTGGCTAACCTTGCCAGACTCAATGATCTTCCTGATTGAGGCCTTTCGAGCCGCTTCAAGCTTTTTGCTCATAGCGAGCATTCGTCTGATGGCAGCGAAAGAGAAAGACAAGGTCTGAATCACGTTAGAACGCGATTCGATTTTGGAACATAATAAAATCTCTGACTATAGATTCAGCGACATATTTTGTTTAAAGAAAATGTTAGCTTGGACCTTTCGGCGGGTCGGATCGAGGACGAGCAGGTACCGTCGAGCATTAGAAGAAAGTAAAGTTGAGCCTATGCACACAATAATGGTTATGCCGTCCCAGTGATTATACGTTCGATGAGATTTGACTGTATTAATAGGATCCTTTTTATTTCAAGTACAAACTTTGGTATCTCTCATTAACAATTCCAATAAGAGGATTGAGTCATAGTAGTTCTAGGGGAAAAATATCCTTGCATTATTGCTGTAACTACGATGAACTTGCCTAGATAAATTCTACTGGTGCCATTTTGCGAGCTTACCACAATTATTACAGACACCAAAGAAATACCGTCGATATACCTAGCAAAATAGAAAAAAAAAACGCCATTCAAGATGTTCATTAACGAATTTCGTTAGGTTAACAATAAAGCAAACCGAAACAATTTTTTTTTTGCCCTTCTCACATACACATACACATCGAGCAAAACATACGCCGCTGTTATTCAAGCAGGGATCATAGCATAAGATTGTTCGACGTCCGCATCCTCTTGCATCTGTCGTCTACGTGACCCATACTTGCCCACCAACTCGTTTCGATCCGCTTTTTCAACACGGTTATTTGATATTGCTACGCCAGGTAGATCTTCCCATCAATTCTCAGCTAGGACGTAAATACAGGGCGCTTTGCTTGTTCAGTGTTCCAGGCGACTCTACGTTCCGAGCAGTTGAAATCTAGTGTTGTTACGTTTACTAGCATGTGGTAAATTCTCGTGTCTTCAGTCCCGCCTTACGGATTCCATTCAGGGCTCAATGAAAAGGCAAAACGAAAGTTGTACACATGGCGTAGGTGGACGGTGCAAAGTTAGGAGCACCTATTTACATCGAATGCATAGCTAGCGCATAAAACGATCACAATTTCCTGGACTTGACTTGAGAGTTTATTTGTTCTTGGCCGACCCTCGAATGCAACAATATTTCACACCATTTGGCTGTACAGGTTTTTCGTAGCCTGTTAACAGAACCCATGAGATGTGTGCTCATGAGTCTGATTGTCACGCAACACCCGTATGTATTGTTCCGGGGTTGTCTCATCTTCGTTTTATTGTTTTTCTATAAAATAGATCCCCGCAAAAATGACTTCGGCAGAAGACTAGTACAATATCGACTCGTGATATTTGCCTCGCTACCGCCTCAGCCGTAATCGGGACCGACGGCTGAGAGCTAGTCTAACGTAAATGTGTTCAGCCAGTTTTCAAACTAGCTCAAATGCTTTCTGAGTACACACACTTCGTCCAAGCTAACAAGGACACACGCATGCGTACTGGCCCGGCACTGTCAGCGAGGACGATGCATGTTCTCATTTATTGTATCCTTCAAAACAAGTAGCTTGAAAGAGCTCATAGGGGGGACAAATCGAGGATAACATGAGAAGAAGTCTGCTAATTGGGTACGTAGACAAATGGACTAGCTCTAAATGGCGATTGAAGAATGCCCAGAACGCCGCACATACTACGTCCGCGCTCTAACTGTATGATGTCCTACGTTACTACCTACTTTTTTTTTCTTGTTTATTTAAACGACGATTTACATGAGATTATTTTCCAACCGCTTGCGTTTTTGATCTTCGTCCTCTCATCAGGATCAGAATTAGCATCGCTAACTTCCATGGGACGATCTTAGAGAACGAAGGCGGGTTACACAGCAGGCCCTGCTCCTCTAACCTCTTACTATCGTACACAATCTGATACTCAAATTTCCTCTTCATCTCACTCCCTAGGAAAGTCTACCCTAGTTGAGCCAATCCTACCGATGATGCTCACATTTTTAGCATGTTTTTCCCATTCTCAACAGACGCCAGCTAGAGTCCTTTCTCGACTTTGAGAAAGGGAGGCTTCAATGCCGAGGGTCGCTGGTGAGGGTTTAGGGGAGAGTGACCGCGCGGTCTTCTCCAAGCGAGCCGGCGTCCGGTCCACTGGTAGTGTTGAAAATGTTGAGCTGAGCTTTGTGCGCGAATATTGGGAGCCGGCAAAGTTTACGCGGATCGCAAAATACCGGTGGGTAACACGCGACGTCGGAGGTAGAGAAACAGTGCTTCAGCAAACTCGACATTTTAAAGCTGTGTAAATGCACTCAGTGAGAAAATGAATCATTGTGGCGAGAAAAACCAAATTTTTCTTTTAGTTCTCAAAGTCGGTTTCGTTCTTTGTTCCTTGTTCTCTCATCATTTCTATGGTTGATAAAGTGTCTAAGAAACTGTTTGTTGAGACCGGTTATACGGTAACAAAAACGATGAATCTCAGTGTAAATTAATGATAACGCAGAAGATTATTGGGTGTGACAATGATATGTTTCCGGAACCAGCTGATGAGGACGATACGGTCACATGTTCCGATGACCTCTCCCTACCTTTCCACATCCATAAACACCAAATAGAAAGCTGCTAGCCTTGACAGGTGGCGTCTGACGAGCTGTGCTATCTGCCTGCTCAAAGGAAGATTACACAAGGAGAGAAGTGTGCTACTTCTATCAAATATCAGTGGGTCCGCTCCGTACTAAGGAACAATTTGCCAACCTCTATTCCTTTTCTCCGGTTAAGGCCATTCAAAGGATACATGAGAAGGATGTAATCGATGATTATAGAGGCGGCAGAAGAGATGGACGTAAGTATACATTATACAGACTATATTGCATATCTTTCTGCGCAGCTAAAAGTTAGAACAAAGCTTATCTAGTTCAATGTTGAAACTCACGCATCTCATTCTCGGTATATACTCGGTAGTACTCGGAGCAGAGCACAAGTGATCGCTGCTGAAGGCTGTTAGACCTCATTTTTAACTTTTTTTTTTGTTCTCGAATCTATTACACCCCTTTGTTTCAAGTCTTGATAATAGATGTCAACAGTAAATTGTACCGAAGTTTTCTTAGGGTCATTTGTTATACATTTCTGAACAGCTAGGACTAAACTAAACCGGTCACAAATAGTGTTTTCACTGATCAACAAGACTATGACCTGTAATACGCATATTATCTAGACAGCACATCAAACTGCCAATGAGCAACCCTTACGAAAGTCCAAGACGCCTTACGACGATCCCCAAGTTCGCCATACTTGCCCAGTAACACGTTATAATGCCTGTGTCCCTTGTTTAATTCCTTTTCTTGGAGGTCGCTAGTGGTGAGAACGCTCTAGGCACACACCTCGCGTAATCTAGTTAAATAGTATAGGACTTCTCGTCTGCAGTCTGAAGCATATATATGCTATAAAGTGTCTGTTGACAGGAGACGCAGGCGAGCGGAAAAGCCAACGCTGGCTATCGCCATACGCTCCTGCCGAAAAAAGAAAGGAGAACGAGAAACGACAACCGAAAGAGGATTGAGGAGGGAACAGGGAGTTAATCGCATTATGTTCATTCAATAAACCCAGTAGACCTCTGAGTTTCTGTTCTCTTAAAAACGTCAAATACAAACTGACACATTTTAACCCATTTTTCTTCCGAACCTATGATCAGATGACTCGTCTATACGAAATAGGTAGTCTTCGAAAACACCCGATCCCATTGAACATCTGCGTCAAGTTGAACGTAACTTGTCCCTGCTTTTTTGCAGTCTGCTTACGTATGTTCTCGCTTGTTATTCTTGTGATTTTGGCCGTATTTGCCTGACCATGCTGTCATTTTTGCCTCGTAGCGATTTGTTTCTATCCAGTCTACTCAGATATTTGTTGTTCTTTCATGGACCAGTAGACTCTACGGAACTAACCTGGCTATAGCCGTTACCGCATCAAGGAGGGTAGTTCTAAATGCTATACGCACTTGAACTACTATTTGTCTCTATAGCCTCTAAAGTTTGGTACGGTTTTTCTTCTTGCACAGTGCTTGGGTGCTCCGTACGGAGACACTGAGTTGACGCCAGTGGATTAACTGTTTAATACAAACTGGTCTTGAGCAATATTAGTCGCAGTAAGCTAGCGGTGATCAATAGACATAGGGTGAAACTGCAGTACTATGCTTATAAGTCCAATCTAGCACACAAATATTAGATTTATGGGTAGTAGATGTCCCCTACATGCGTCGTGAAACGAGACTTCAGAGGTTCGTTTTCCCAGAATGATTATTTACGTTTTCGTACGTATAAAAACGTAAACGTTTCGTGAAACCGGATTAAGCTATCCAACTCATACATCTTTTCAGCACTCTTAAAACAGAAATTATTTGCCGCTTACCTCCATATCGTTCTGATTATGATTTTATCTCAAAAAATATGGGTGACAGCATCTTGACAAACGCAACTGATTCTACGGCTCATACCCACGTACGAGAGCTAACACAAACGACAAACGTAATTAAATAAGCAAATAAATAATAAAGGTATTTGGCTGTTCTTTCACAAAAGCACCACACGTGGTTTAAAAGTGAAAACTTCATAATAGCAACAAATTCTTTAATATAATTTAAACCAATATTTTTACCCAAATGGAACACAAATCATTTGATAGAATTTAATAGGTATGGTAAGGTCGCCTCGGCCGTATACTGCACCGATAGCGAGTGCTATTTAAACAGAGCGTTCATCGTCTATCGTGAAGACGTGTGCGGTGCTGTGGACGACCCTGTCATACCTCAATGAAAAGCTGTTGAAGCGATGGTGAATCCTTGGAGTTGCTACAGGCACATCAGACAGGAACGCTTTAAATACGAGTCGCCTGGGCGAAATTTCAATGTCACACGTCAAACATCTGCAGTCGAAGGTTTCACAATTTAAATTTGTGCATGTATCCTTTACTTTTGTCGCTATTTTATTGCTACAAAACATATCGCTTATTATAGCGTCATAACATGTCAGTAGAACAAAATTATTCTAATGGAATAGGTGAAAACATCACTGTCTGTAATTAGCCATGCTTAACAAGTACCCATTAGAAGACATAGCCCAGATTCTATTCTGGCCTCCCTTGGATAGACTCACGAAAGTGCCGCGCAACGGATCGCTGTCAGGCCTACTCTAAATGAACTAATCAGCGATTTCGATAGCCCCACTGATTGGTAGGTCGTGAATTAGTATGAAAGCTTGCTCTTCTATCGTGCACTATAACTAGCTCGACTTTGTATCGCTATTCTATTTCTATATAATATATAGACATATATTCAGCTGTTCTTCAAATAAACTGATTGGTGCAGCTGGTTAAATAGGTGCCAAACCTGGGTGGCACAAAAAGATGGGTCAATATGTATTGGCCTATAAAGTAAATGATTGGTCATTCTTAAACTTCTAGATGATATCTCGAAGCAGTTTGTACGAAGTTTATTTGCAGCAAATGTAGTATGTGTTTGAGTTTTTTTTCAAAGAAAAAAACACACACACACACATTTGCTTACAGCACAGTTGTTTATTCGGCGAGAAGAACTTGCTTCGTGAGAGACAATAGAGTAAGTTGCCAGCCATGGTAAGTGAAAAAAACAAACCAAAACCATCGATCATGGTGCACTCAGAGAACTGAATTACGTTAAGAAAGAGTCTTTTCGACGACGGGTGAAAGTTACGGACATTGGACATGTATGACACGGCATCTAGGTCCGACCAGTTAAACAGGAGCAGTTATAATACAACTTGTACATATTCTCTCACGATAAGATTGGTCAGAGTACAATTTCGTTTTTAACTCACTTCAGCCTAACTAAACTTATTGAAATACTCGATACGGCATCCCACCACCATCTACGCAACAGACGAATCGTTCCGCTACTTACTAACTTGAATCGATCGTCGTGCAAGTCGTCGAGTTGCATGAATCTGCACAATTGTAGGTCGAAGAAGGCCTAAGCTAGGAATCGGACTATGGGACATTTACGTACAAAATTCCTAAAAGCATTCTTGAGCCAAGTACTATCATACAAGATCCCTTCGTTCTTTGTTTCTCCGCAAAGAATAGTGGAGGTTAACCTTTTGTTGCGATTTTTTTTTTTCGTTACAGGCCTTCACGAAGCGAGTTTAGTCTCAATCTGTACTCATTATTTGTTATTAAGTTGATTGCAAAAGGTTCCTTTCAAATCCTATTAAATCATCTTATGAGATGTCCGTGTTCTAACTTGCCAAATGTTAAACTTACCTTGTTACGCTAAACATTGCTGCTAAAGTTCATTGTCATTACGGTGATCGGCCTGGTCCAGAGAGCCTCTGACGTATGAGTGAAAAATGTGAATAGTGTCTGCAGTTTTTTTATGAACGTTTTTGAATTGAGCATGAATTTTGGTATTTTTGTCGTCTTTTTTTTTTTCTTTGAGATTTATAAATTCGTACGCTATAATAATTGAATTTGCTTTGAAACGGTAGATGTCGATTACTGACCATTATTTCAGATGAACCAATGGATTTAAAAAGGCACATTACGATACCTTGCTATTATAGCTTACATTTACTATTTGAGTAAAAGGAAAAATGGTACATATTGTATCACCGTAGCGCTCTATATTCCCGGAAATATTGCATTTACATTATACACTTTTAGTTATCAATTTATTAGCAAAGATTAACAAATGGCCCAAATATTTTTCACTTGTAAATAAAACATTTCGCTTTCTAGTGCTTTTTGCAGTAGTTCATGTCTCTGCCCTGGCTGATTTTCCTTCTGTACATCTCAATGGAAACGGAAGTTCATACAAGTACTAGAGGCTTGGCTGCTATACGGAATAAGTAGGCAACGGCTTTCTTAAGAGGGACATTGTAGAGAATACGTCCGGTTCTGTTTATACGGGTGCGTAGAGCTTATGAATTGCCTGCGCTCAGGAGGCACATAGCTGTGCGCGCTGGCCTCACGCTGAACAAATTTTTGCGAAATTGTCGTCATCCGTACTATGATGAACAACTTACCAGCGTCTCAACTTCACGTCAGTAGAATGTTTAAACTTGTACTACGTACTGGTAAACGTACTAGAAAACGATTTCTACCGACGCACTGGTAGAAACGCGTAGTCCAAAAGCGTCACAAAGAAGGCGTTTGTTGCTACGTGACCGCACCACACCGTTCGAAAAGGTCTAGGCCGTACAGCGGAAATTCCCTTTAACAAACCCTTAAAGAATTTCCACGAACGAACTTAACCTGTGCTACTTTCGACACAGATACCACACTTAAGAGTACGCCAATACCCTTTTTGTGGGTTTGGCAAAGGCGAGCATTGGTTTGATGTTTCAGAATGTACGACGTTGTGACTACAATACGAACTATAACTGGCAAGGGGTCCATGTTCATCATTTTAGTGAGCCTCCTCATGCTCCTCATTCCCTTGTGTTCGTGTGAAAAGTGTTGATGAAGCTTTTTCCTCATTTAAGAAAAAAAAATACGCCATTGTTTACTTGGGAGAAAGAGGAACGGAATAGGAGTTTGTCCTTTGGAGTAATAAGGGATTCAGAGGAGAAATATATCGGTCTATTGATGCTGCTACTAATGTCTACAAAAAACTGTTTTACCGAAGTTAGGCTGATGCTTAAAAAATTATGTATGCTTCTTATGCTGAATGTTTCGCTTTCTCAAAATAATTAATTTTAGACGTATAGAAACGAAGTGAACAGCTGTTTCATTTCAGAAAAAGGACCGGTCCGAAATAACTATTCTGTGCCATTATTCCAAGCAGGACGTTACGTGACCATAGTTGTTTCTCTCTAA